TGTAAGTCTATGAGTAAGCTTACCAATTTTTGTTGCAATCAGAGGTCGGGAAGAATACTTAATATCTATTTGTTTGAAGAAAATTGTGCTGGCCGAAATTAGCGCTAAAAAACCATCTCACAGTCGGCACGCGCGGCTCACTGTCGATGGCGCACTACCTAATTATACTAATTATAGGATACTGAGAAGTTTAAGTTTATTTATAAAATAAGCTTTATCTTTTGCACCGTCACGCGAGCAATAATTTGTTTTACGAATCGATGTGATTGTGTTTATTATTTAGTATTTATGTTGTAGCGCGATGCACTACTGGGTCGCGCGCGCGCATCCAATAATGCTTCTCGCAACCACAGATCGGCGAGATGCGAAGGATTGACATCGTGAATCAAGTATTTATGCAGTTATGCTTTCATTTATTCAGGGAAAGAATATATCAACTGTGACACGGAAAACTGTGAAGCTGATCTTAGGTTTCGATTCAGTGACTTTGATATTGAAATAAAATACCAAAGAAATCCCGTCGCAGGATCATATAAAATACATTTCTACAATGATTTAGGTATGGGTACGACTACGATATTGATAAAGTCTTAAGTCTACCTTAATCATGCACCCTATTTTAATTTTATAGTGTAGGCTCAATTTGTTTCATATAGTTCCATCGCTCATCGATCATTTTCCACGGACAAATAAGAAGATACAAACGCATTATTATGCCAAATCAGGTTACAATTGCTTCAATTACAAATCAACTTATCATGATAATGGCAAATGGATAATGAAATCGTCAATTCAATTTTTCAGGGAAGCTGGAAGAATTTGTCGAATTCCTGCAGGACAATTTCAGCCAAATAACACGGATCGGGCAGAGTGACAGGTGCTCTGTATGGGAGCAGGACTATTGAGCGGAGGACTGTTGAGCGTAGGACTGTAGGTCGGTGAAGGTCGGAAGTAGGACTGTAGAGCGGTGTCAAATCGCCAGGGTAGGACTCTAGAGCGGCCGCCCTTATAGATCTCACAACATGAGGACTTAAGAGCGGTACGATCCTAAAATGAGGACTGTAGAGCGGTGGACTGTTGAGCGGTGGACTGTAGGCCGGTGAAGGTCGGAAGTAGGACTGTAGAGCGGCCCTCCCTTATAGATCCCATAACACGAGGACTCTAGAGTGGTACCTTCCTATAACATGAGGACTCTATAGCGGTTGAAAATTTGAAGATTGAACACTCAACGAAGCTAAGTTATACATTGTAACTCGTGATTGGAGAAAGACTGTTAACACTCTGCATATTGTAGGTAGTTGTAGAAGAGGAGTAGGAATCGAATTTGAATATACTCCGTGATATTTATACCATACCTTCGAAATCATAACAAGATATCGCACTGCGATGGGATCTGATCTGAATCAGTCCTGTCACCAGATTGATGAACATGAGATATCCTTAGTAGGCGCTAAAGCGTCACGCGATGCGATCCTCATTCCTAAATGATCTGCACGAACTTGATCGGTACTCTGCTTAGTAAAATCACATTGATACGAACAGTTCACTAAAATACCGAAGACACGTTTTACATTTTTGAGTAGCATGATTAATCGAATAGTAATAGTACATCAATTATTGTCTGAGATACAACGTTGAATTACAGAACGAGTTTAATGTACAATAAATTGAAATATTATATCAATCCATTCAGTACTTCGCTATCACACGTTATAACTATGCAAACAGTCTTTTCATCAAAAGTGGTAGTTCTCTGTTGAAAAGTCTCCGGCAATCAGGATCAGAGCGAGTGAGACCGTGTTTTCTCATCCACATAAACTCGTAGAATTTTGACTCGTCAATTTCTACTATCTGTCCAGGACCTCCGATCATCACGTCACCAGAGAACAAGTCTTCCGCCATGCACTGTCTGATAGCTTTAAAGAATCCCCGGACTTTCTTAGGATCCATAGAGAGGGTAACTGCAGCTTGGCAGACGCTGCTAAAGGTACAGTAGAGCCAAAGTAGGTGTAGAAACTTCATAGCAGGTATCTGTTTCCCGGCCAGGAGGGAGTCAGTGCGGATGGACACGAAGTGAGCTCCACCAGGGCATCGCCAGCAGCAGCCATCTTTAAACTTCTGAGTCGAGCATTTCACTATCGTCATCCATTGTTGGCAGGTGGTACAGTATCTGCGATCTCGTAGTATCCCAACGTCAACGCAGTACTGTATACAGTTCTCTTCTGTTGCCAGCACGTTAGCTCTATCGAGGTCGTCCCAAGAGAGGAAGTGAGGAGATGTCATCTTGATGTAGTAAATGTGTAATAGATAAATACAAGTTTCAGTGTCCTTTTAAACCCATCAAATCGGTAATTAGCCACGTACAGCATGTCATCGGTCAAAATTCGCCAGCCCAATCATTTGCACACAGTCACGTCACGTGATACGAATCGCCGAAAATATGTTATTGCGTTTAGATGAGCAATCATATGAGCTATATCTCACACCCAATCACTGATGGAATGCCTTTGGTTCACGTATCAGCAAGGTAGCACCTACACAGGAGTTAGTGATTATGACGAAAGTTTGCCAGGTGTATACTATATAAGCGGTTATAGCTAACGTTATGATAACCTGAACAATGTCTTCACCACCACCAGCTTGTATACCTAACAAGACGAGACGTTATATCCTGCCCTGTTTAAACCTCGACAACTTCACTTATGTTGCACGTAACATCCTGAACAGACCTGGGAGTTCTCAGACGCTATTAGACCTATCATTGAAGGGAGCAGCACTCTAATTAAGCACTAGATACGATACATATATAATGTACATTATATGAAACATGAGTACATGAGAGGGAGCAGGGGAGTTGAGAGATGCTGGGCCGGGAGCGGGAGTTAAGACAAAAGAGGGAGCAGGGGAGTGGAGAGGCACTGGGGCCTGGAGCGGGGGTAAAGACAAGAGAGGGAGCAGGGGAGTGCTGGGCCGGGAGCGGGGGTAAAGACAAGAGAGGGAGCAGGGGAGTGAAGAGGTGCTGGGCTGGGAGCGGGAGTAAAGACAAGAGAGGGAGCAGGGGAGTGCTGGGACCGGGAGCGGGAGTAAAGACAAAAGAGGGAGCAGGGGAGTGGAGACGCGCTGGGGCCGGGAGCGGGGGTAAAGACAAGAGAGGGAGCAGGGGAGTGCTGGGCCGGGAGCGGGAGTAAAGACAAAAGAGGGAGCAGGGGAGTGGAGACTGGAGAGGCGCTGGGACCGGGAGCGGGGGTAAAGACAAGAGAGGGAGCAGGGGAGTGGAGAGGTGCTGGGCCGGGAGCGGGGGTTAAGACAAGAGAGGGAGCAGGGGAGTGGAGAGGTGCTGGGCCGGGAGCGAGGGTAAAGACAAGAGAGGGAGCAGGGGAGTGAAGAGGTGCTGGGCTGGGAGCGGGAGTAAAGACAAAAGAGGGAGCAGGGGAGTGGAGATGCGCTGGGCCGAGAGCGGGGGTAAGAACAAGAGAGGGAGCAGGGGAGTGGAGAGGTGCTGGGTCGGGAGCGGGGGCAAAGACAAGAGGGGGGCCGGGGGTGTAGGGTGTTTAGAGACGGTTCTACAACGGTTCTTAACCGGTTAAGAGCCGGTTCTTATCCGGCTCTAGGTTGATAAGTAGATTTATAAATCTGTTTTCTATAGGCGGTTCTTAACCGGTTAAGAGCCGGTTCTTATCCGGTTCTTAACCGGTTCTTAAACGGCTCTAAGTTTATTAGTAGATTTATAAATCTGTTTTCTATAGGCGGTTCTTAACCGGTTCTTAAGCGGTCCTTAGACGGTTCTTAACCGTTTCTTAAACGGCTCTAAGTTGGTTCTTAGGTTGTTTAAATGCAGTTTTAGAGGCGGTTCTTCAACGGTTCTTAAGCGGTTCTTAAGCGGTCCTTAGACGGTTCTTAAGCGGCCGCTCACCGGCTCTTGACCGGCTCTAAACCGGCTCTTAACCGGTTCTTAACCGGTTCTTAAACGGTTCTTAAGCGGCTCTTAACCGGCTCTTAAGCGGTGGTCGCTGTTTGCCCTATTAGCCAATTCAAATTCCACTCAATTTCAGATTATTATTCAATATTGATTTGCTGACGGTTTACTCCAAGTTAATACCTTAATAGTTAATACCCATAAGTAAGGGAAAATAAACGAAATAAAAATGTAAAAACACAAGCAGCAAAGAAACCTTTGCATCACCCTTCGGGGAACACCACAAACTTCCCCATAGCCCATAACCATTGGTAGTTAAACTTAAAGCCAATCCCCTCCCCAACCTCCCCTCTCCGTTCCATCTCTGTTAACCAAGATATCAAAATATAACTTTACTTTTGAAAATCAGGTACCCTGACGATCACTGCCACTTTAAAAATAAAAGCAAGTTTCAAATTAATGCTTTTATTAGAATTTATAGAATTCATGTGTCATTGATATAAGTCATATTCAATTACAACTGCAAACCAAATCTTGAATTAACATTTCTTTCCATAGACTTGGTTACCAAACCCTCTGAGGGTGTATCATCTGACTGTCCCAGCGACGGAGTCTCGCTTCAAAGCCTTATCAGAACTTATAACTTATAACGTGGCCAGATTAATTGAAATTTTTGAGAGACATGGCCAAGACCGTTAAGTTTTAGATGGCGCATTTGAACGATGATTTATTAAATATTTACGTGTTTGTTTGATTTTACTTTTGGTAAATGATGTGAATATTAAGATAATATTTAATAGAACAATTTTGTTATCCATTGTTTCTGTTGTCCTGCATCTCCTCATATTTCAAAGTAAGTTTTAAAGAAAGTCAGAGAGTGCTAGTATACTTACTACTGAAGCATGTGATGGACATAATATGGCTATGAGTGGCTATAGGTATCCGTATAATGTCACGTTTTTTTGTTAATATAATTGCTCGACAAACTTGCAACTGCAAAATTCTCATATAAATGGCGTTTACACTAGTCGTGTATGTTTAAATTTCATAATAAACATTAAACAATAAAAACATAATTTATTTTAAAAGTTTAAGGCCATTCGAAACAGCACATGTAACAAAAATGCTTCTTTAAAAGACAAATCAGCACACAATTAACTTAAACCCCTGCCCGAAACCCCACTTTTATCCGTACACTAATTCTACGTGTCAATAAACGATATGAAATGTATATGTAATCATTCTCCATGATTTTATACTAATACAAAAATCGTAAGCGAAATTAAATTAAGAGCTCAAAACTGACCCGTGGAGAGAAAACGTTACAGCATATTCTTCAGAAACTTGTTGTAATCTAGCGATACAAGAAGTCTACCCTTTACTAGAACAATAAATCCTTCAAGGGGAAGGGGTTCAGTCCAAACTTTTGTTAAAATCGATTTTTAAAGTCAGTAGTTGCCCGACGTGCGGATCTTGACTCGTAATTTCGTTGATGAGTAAGACCAATAGCTTACATTTGAGCATTTTGAAGGTAAGTTCGGATAAGCAAGATTCGGATGCCAATGAGCGTCCTTATAGTGGAACCAACCTATGTTATTTGTCCTGTCCAGATCTATTTTTTCCAGGTTATCACTCAGACCTGTGTGTTGAACTTGAACCCCCTTCCATTTGTCAACCGATAATATATCATATAACAGTGAGGAACAAGATTTTGAACTTGAAAGTATATCAAGGTCTTCCTAATAAATCATGCTCTGAGCTGTAAAAATCCATAGAAATGAGCTAAAAAGGTGTAAAAACATTGTAAAACAAATACTAACAATAATATAGGCTTTTCTGGTTCATTGAAAATTAATCTATTCAAATATGATAGAACATAAATAGCATAAAAACTCTGCAAGCAGCAAGAGTGCTCTTAAAATGGCGAAAAAGCATTCTCATCCTTACAGCGATATTAGGCATATTCACTGAACTCTGTTACCACTGATTTATCTAAATAACTTAAACTAGCAGTTGTGAACCAAGAATTAGGATGAGTATAAAATATAGCTTCGCACCAAACTTAGTACATTAAAATTATTAAAAGTCAAATATATTGAAATAATAATTTAAGAGAATAAAATTTTGAAAGCATTATTAAACATATATAAACAATGATAATAATAAGGCGTGGATGCAATATCTATTAAGAAATATCATACGAATATTATAGATATAGAGTCGGGAACCAGGAAACCAGATCAGAAGACCTTAACGAATAATGGAATGAGAAATAAGTGAATAACTGAAATTTTAATTAGTGAAAATCTAACTTGAAACAAATCACGACTCTAAAAGTTCCAAATTAGCAGTATTCTGTTGAACAGTCCTTTTTTTACTTAGGTTAATAGATTGAGAGGAGTAGTTGCTCCGTGCTCACATGGGTCGGTTATAGTAGTTCCCTGAAAAATTATTGACTTAAGTAAATTAAGTATGTTATTAAATCATTAATTGTTAATTAAACAAATAAATTAGCTTCGTTACTAATTAGCCCATTAGATAATTAGCTAATTACCTCGGGGTGTGTAGGAGGGAAGATCGTCCCACAGTCTCAACAGTCCCTCTCCCACGGTAGGCTCCAATTCTTGACCATCTCTAGCTACCTGCACTTTCCTGAGATAAAGAATTGTTATAACACCACCCACTCCTTTTAAATAATACAAAAGTAACGTCATATCAGTAAGGCATTCAGAGTTAGAAGATTTATACCATAAATTGAGGAAAAAAAGTAAGCCAGGACGCAAGATTTTAACCCGCAGAACAGTTTGACCTTTTCTAGTAACCGCACCTGTTTTCATTCCACGGGTTGTAGAGATGATGGCAGCGCTGGAAGGGTAGATTAGCCCTCTTTAACCACTCTATCCTTACCATACCGCCGTTACTACCACTGGTGAACGGGGCTATCATCCGGGCGTATCCCTGATAAGTGCGTGAAGGATCAGTCAACAAATACGACGATTTTTTGAAAATTTCCGTTTTGGCGGCATTAAAAGGATAAATTAATGAGATTCGAAAGGTAACCAAACCTGGAAATGTCCGCTTGTCTGAACGCTGAAAATCAGGAAGACGTTTTTACAGATGGCATACGCTTGGCTCAGCTTCTTCTCTGTATTAACCGAAGTCTGCCAGTATCCGCTCTGAACTGAGCCTTCTATGTTTTGTTGATTTCCACACTTCATGATGAAATACCTGGTTAACAGTTAGGTAATTTAAAAGGTTTAACAAGTTAATTGATAAAATCCATATTTGCAACAGCTGGAGTATTGAAAGTGAATGGTTGAAATAGTGCATAAATTGATTAAATAGATGAAGGGAATCCAACTACTGTGCCACTAGCGAATAAGTCGATTGAATTCAAATCAAAGTTTAAAGTGACACATACTTAGCGCTAGAGGGAGCAGTCTGCATCTTGTTGCCGTACTGAAGTTGTCCACTGTATTGATCTGTGTTCCCACGTACTGTCTGATGGGTAAGATATGATAAAAGATAAGATATGATAAAATGTGATAGTTATAACAGAAAATACAAGTTTACAACCTACATAATAAGTTTTTTTTTTTATTGAAAATCTTTTCAAAATAGTACATACATCAATGTAATTGCATGAAAATAACACGGTCAAAAAGTGATTTCTATGTACTAAAATGACGGGAAACCAGAACGTAGTTCGTGCAAAAATTACACCTACAAAATATGGTCCCTGACAAAACATTTCATACAATCAACACATATAAATGTAAGATATATAGTAATAGAGATGATTGTGCAATAATAAAATACAGCGTGCATAAAATATCATAATGTTAATAATTTGTTAACTTTTTAATGAAATAGATTATATCATACAATACTTTTAAAAACCCAACCCACAACCCAACCCACCCCTAACCCCTTAAATAGTTTGGATCGGTTATTTTAGATTAGAGAATTGGCATTGGGAGAAATGAGATGCATCTAATCATTATCAGACAGGTAGAATTCAGCGTGACTATCGTTTGGATCTGTGGGTAGCATTTCCGACGATTAGGTGATCCTTAAGTTTGGCCTTGAAGATATCAGGACAGCTATGGTCTCTTATTTCGAGAGGAAGTTTATTCCAGAGCAGATGTGTCCGATAAAAGAATGATTTCTTAAGGAGACTGCTATTACACTGTGTTTGAACAAGAGTCGTTACATAACTTAGGCTGTCATGGTGACATGATCTTAAGCGTGTGCTTCCTTTGTATAGTTGTAAGTAATTAGGAAGCTCTTGTGTGCATACACCATTGACTATTTTGTGAAACAAGGTCAGGTCATTCAATTCAAACCTCTTGCTGAGAGGAAGGATTTTCAATTGATGACATTTGTAAGTATAGTTTTCAAAGGACTGATAGCTTGTGAATTCCTCATCAAAAATCCACTTAATACACCTTTTTTGAAAAGCATCCATCTTATCTAGTTGTGTTTTATTAAATGGACGCCAGATTTGGGAACAGTGTTCAAATTGACTTCTAACAAGTGCAAGGTATAAATTTCTTCTTCGTCTCTCATCTTGGACAAATGAGCAAGTGCGTTTCAGCAGCCCAAATTTTTGGTTAGCTTTGGACAATATTTTAGTTATGTGTTCTTCAAAACGAAAGCCCTGATTTATAACGACTCCAAGATCTGTTTCCGTACTGGTGTAATCTAAGGGAGTATTACCGAGCAAATATTGAAATCTGATAAATGGAATAGGTAATATCCTACTGCTGAATTTCTTTCCAGGAATAGAGAGGACTTTACACTTTGATGGATGGAATCGCATCTTATTTTCTATGCTCCAAGAATTAAGTTCATTTATGTTATTCTGAAGTGTGCAATAATCGTTGTATGATTTAATAGGACTCCATATTTTTGTGTCATCAGCATAAAGTACCAAATTTGTGCCTGAACTTAATCTCATGGGAAGATCGTTTATGAATAAAACAAATAGAATGGGACCTAGGACGGAGCCTTGAGGAACTCCAGACAAAACAGGTTTGATCTCTGAATGTCTACCATCAACTAAAACACATTGTTCCCGTTCACTAAGATAGTTGGTTAGGAATTTGAGTAGCCTTCCTTCAATATTAAAGACGAGTTTAAGTTTCTTAAGAATAAGATCATGATTTACAGAATCAAAGGCTTTAGCAAAATCAAAGTAAATGATGTCTACACTTATAGTCGAACAGTCATTGAGGGATAGCGTGACACTGTCAATAAAGTTAATCATATTTGTGGTACAAGATCTGTCTCCAAGAAATCCATGCTGTCTATCATCAAGAAGATGCATTGTTTTATTCAAGAGTTCCTGTTTAATAAGGCGTTCAAATGTTTTCATTATAAGACTAGTTAGGGAAATCGGCCGATAATTCTCAATGTCCTCCTTACTACCCTTCTTGTGAACCGGAACTACGTGAGCCAGCTTCCATTCAGTTGGAATAATACCGGAGTTATATGATATCTCAAATAAAATTGAGAGTGGGCAAGCGAGACTACCAGCACAGTTCTTCAGTATCTTACCATGGATACCGTCAGGGCCGCAAGCTTTGTTAGAATTAATGTTCCTTAAGAGATGTTTTATATTCTCTGCACAGAAAGTTAAGTCGAATTCAGTATCACTTCTCCAATCAATATCAATATCATACTTAGATTCGTCAGAAAATTGTTCTGAGAAATACTGATTGAACATATTTGCTTTGTCTAATGGAGATTCTCTGTGTGTTTCTCTAAGGTACATCCTATCCGGTATTCTTGAATTCTTTGAAGAGGATTTTACATGCGACCAGAATTTCTTTGAGATCAATGCAGGGTCATCATCGTTATATAGATTATCGTTCATCTTCTGATCAGATAGATTTTTGAACTGTGTTCTTAGTGAGCAAAACTTAAAATAATCCTTTTGTTGGCCGGTTAGTTTCCACTTTTCATGAGCTCTTTTTTTCTTCAAGTATGCCTCATGGGCCTCTGAGTCAAACCAGGGATTTCTATATGCTAACTTTAAAGTAATAGTTGGGATATGCTTTGAGATACTTTTCGATATTACAGACTTTAAGGCAAGCCAACAATATTCAGGATCTCCTAGCTTTAAAAACATAGCATTCCAGTCAATAGAATTCAAGTCTTCGTTAATGGCCGTCCAGTTTGCCTTCTTAAAGTTGAGAATCTTTCTTTTAGGACATTTAGAATAAGTGATTTTTGTAGCAACTTTAAAAGCTATTGGATAATGGTCAGATTTGCAAGCACCGTGACCCTTCAATACCGTAAGATCTCTTACTAAATTTTTACAATTACTCAAAAGAAGGTCTAGTATGTTACCCTTAACATGTGTAGGACTACTTATACATTGATCTAGATCAAAGTTATGGAATGTTGTAATGAAGTCCTCTTCAATTAAACTAGAAGGTGTAACAATTCCGTCCTCAGAAAACCAATATACTCCATTGAGATTAAAATCACCAACGATGAAAAGTTTTTTAGGGCGTTTGCTTGAGTAGAAAGACTTGATTGTACTGGCAATACTTTCATGGTTTACTGTTCCTAAAGTTCCGACTCTGTAAACCACACAAAAAATGTATTTACTTTCACCTATGTTTATTTCAATAGCGGCCATTTCGGACCCCTTCCGTACAGACAGTCTTTTGATTTCAGCTTGAATATCAGATCTGATTGCTATCAAGACTCCTCCACCATTTTTCCTATTAAAGAATAAAGGGGCGAAACTCAACCCCTCAGTTATGCGGCTAAAGTGCTGGCAAGTTGTCACTGATGAAGAAAAGAAACAATGAAAATACAGATGGTTTCAATAAGATACCCATTTATTATTGACTGATAAAATAGAAGTGTCGTTCTAACCTGGTGAGAATAGTACTGTTCCTCAATATTATTATTAGCAGCGGGGTATCCAGGGTTAGAGTACCCAGTGTTACCAGGGAGAGAGTCCATACCTCCGGACATTCCTCCGGACATTCCTCCGGACATACCACCGGACATACCACCGGAGTACACTCCACCACCTCCTCCACCTTGAGTCATGGAGTTATGAACGGGAACTATAACTATTGGTATTGATATATTAGTAGTCAGCCTTTACTAGGGTCAGTGTTAACTCACTGTTACTTTAAGAGATATTTTCTCTCCTACTTTTTATGTGCATTGCAATTGAAACAGTAATTATGTATTTAAAATGATTGAAAATCTCTCTGAATAATCACGCTAGACTGTGTGGCTAATTAACTAAATTAATTATCTAATGACTAAATTAATTAATTAATGACTAAACTCACCAACACCCCCCGTTCCAGTCCCACCGCTTCCTCCAGAGAAAACAGGACGCTGACTATGCCCGCTATCACGATTATAGCTGTTGTAGTTATTGTTATTGTTGTTGTTATTGTTGTTGTTGTTGTTGTTATTATCGTACCCTCCTCTCTTCATGTGCCACTGCTGCTGGGAGTGAGCCTCTATGATGTCGTCGAAGGGAAGAGCTGGAGAGATCACATGAGGCATGTGGTACCGGGTGTGGTAGGCGTGGTCGTAGGGTCTGGGAATATAATTAGTTAAAATCAATTAATTTTATTAATTAATCATTAGAAACGGTTATCTAACAAGAAGTATTATTTAGAGCTTAATGACAAGCTTCATTAACTCTTTGAGCTTCATGAACTATCGAGTTAATCGAGAAAAAAAACATTTGCCCAAAATAAGAATCCCCCCCCGCCCCTGTAAGAATGGTACCTGAATGGTCTCTGGGCGATGCCGGCAGGTTGTGTCAGACTCATGGGTTCCTCTTCTTGTTTAAGTATTGAAACTATACACCGCAGTATGGATGTGTCCACCTGAAAGGGGAAGAGTTCATTCGCTATTTAATTGAAGGATACTTATTGTGTCTAGCAATACTATACAATTTGTCTATACTACTATACAAATTACGTACCTAAATTATTTTGGGTTAGAATGACCTAACAAAAGACCATGTGTGTACGTGTGGTCACAAATTGTAGACATGGCAACAACACTCTGCAGACTGTAGACATGGCAACAACACTCTGCTAGTAGATCACATTACACCGCTCATCACAGGACATACCACCTCCTACCCCGGTTATCTAAGCGTGATCACATGGGCGTGATACTGATCCGACGTGGGCGACGAGTCACGTGATCTAACGAGCGATAGCTCCCATCTAAAATATTCTGGATACCAGTCTCTTTAATGTATTCTGTAGACGTTGAAAATGTTGGTTTTGCTTTTGAATCTCGTGAAATATTATATCAGGACTTATCCGAGGCGGTGAAATATTATCCCTCAACAACGAATATAAGTTGATTAAAAACTTGCTTGATGTCTTATCCTGTGGTCTCACTTTCTCAGAATGACGAAGTTATTTCCGCGTCCGGTGTTGCTTACTTTGAATAAATGTTATAATTTCGATTTTCTGATTTTAAATTTGCTTGCTGATGAATAGAAAACGTAATTATCTTTATTCCTTATAAATATTTTAGTAGTACAGTTTGTTTAAGAAAGTTTGCTAAGGATGGATTATCAAATATCAAACACATGTTCCAATATTTGTCATGTGATAAGCTTAGTTATCTCAGTATTAACACCCAATAGTAGAATGGTCGCCTTCGGAACTATCACAGTAGACGGAGAGATCATCTACACAGGAACCAAGACTGACGAGATTATGAACTATGTTTGCGCAGGAGTCCTGATAGCCTACATGGTGGTCGGACTTAAAGTGAACTTGCTCCTGATTCACTACTACAAGGATACCCGACCCTCCTGGATTGACAGACATCTATTTTACATCTCCCTCGCTCGACCAATATTTTTAACTTCCAGTTGTATCCTTGAAACTTACATTCTTCTCAATGATCGAGATTTCTCCCAAATAATGAGTTTCCGATGGTGGGAAACAACCTTGAACATTGTAGGTATCCTGAGTTCAGTAACACTGATATCCTTCGACACTGTGATAGTTGCTATGCAGTACAGTAATATCCACTGTCCCTTATGGACAATCCTTAACGGATCATATAAACTAATAAAGGGTGTACTAATCGCAATAGGCGTTCTTTTCACTGGTTGTTTTGCTGCTGCAATCATATTCGGACAAATGAACAGAAACAAGGGATTCTCTGTTCCATTATCGACAGAAACAGTTATCGATGATGCTGTATCCACGGTTCCATTCATCATAGTGTGTTGCATTGTGGCCGGAATTTATTTAGCCACCTGGATAAGGTTTTGGTACCAAACTGGTGAAATAAGAGTCGCTGGAATGGTAAAAAGGGAATTTAAGCTGGTAACTATGCTTGT